ATTCCTCATATGATCACTTCAAATTACCTAGGCTCAACTAGATGCACAGCTTCATAGCAAGAGGTGGCATGCTTCTTCCCCACTATGAAGGTGCTGATTTGTCTTTTGAGACAAAGAAAAGGAATATGAAATAGCTGTAACCCATACTTTAAAGAAGTTGAAAGAAACGTACAAAATAAGAAAAGAGAACAAAAGGACCAATCTACAGAGTTAACAAGCTGTAAGCCAAATTAAGCTACTTTATTTTGGTTTAGCAGTGGATGAGTTTAAGAGAATCTGCTTGCCTGAAAGCAGATTCCTGCTGCACACTATAAGTTCCCACTTCCCACCGACCAACTTCTCTTCCTTATGGAGAACTACAAAGCCCGGTATGAAGCTGGCTCCAGGCTATTTTGCAGCCGATCTTGGCTTTTTTTTTAACCCATTGCTTTTCTGTGACTCTTTATTGTGTTATACATAACCGAGGCAGCAGAGGGAGCTCAAAGATTTTGCTCATCGATGAGAAACCTAGAGAACCAGAGAGGCAAGGGGAGAGAGAGACTGACGGGGCCAGGACCAACTACAAAGACAGGGAAGGACGTGGCTTGATGAACTTGGGCTTCTTTAAAGCTAATAGATTATATGCGTATCCCGTTATTCAGCTGGTAGTTTTAAATACCAGCGGGAATTCAAGGTACCACTTAGTGGCCAGGTTTTATTTTGCACTTGTGGCTTACTGAAGCTCTTTTGTTTATGGTTTGGAAAAAAGTATTTATCTAGAATATCAAAATCCTTTCTGAGTCTAATAAGTTGTTCTAGTAAAGCGTTCTCTGTGTAAAGATTTAGAATAAATATTAAGACATGGGTACCTGAATTTTAAGGACTATAGTAAATAAAATTGGTAAAACAGCGGCAATTGGTAAAATACTGAGTTGCAGTGAATAGACTTTTGTTCAACAATGCAGAAATTCAGTTTGTAAAATAATGCAAAATGGTTTCCATTGTAATTTTAAGATAGAAAGATTTTAAAGTTTTTCAGATGGTGTTCATCTTCAGTGTTGGGGAGAATTAAAGCTAGTAAAAATACACAATTGAAAGTCCTATTTACAAAAAAACATTTTTCTTCTGTAAAGGAAGATTTGAGTTTCTGAGAGGTCAACAGCTGCTGACCATAAGCAAGTGCTGTGAGTCTTTCAAGAATGCTCTCCTGGAAACACAAAAACAGTTAATCCCCTTTAAAGATAAAAGGAAGAGAGCCGAGCAAGTGAGCCCTTTGGCTTAACTGTGAGCTTCTGAGTCTGCTCAAAACCAAGAGAAATGCAGCAGAGATGGAAAAGGGGATGACTACCTATTGAGATCTACAAGGGCACTGCCAGGATGTGCAGAGATGCAGCTAGAAAACCGAAAGCTCAGCTTGAATTACAATTGGCCAGAGATGTCAAAAACTACAAGAAAGGGTTCTTCAGGTGCATAAGCAACAAGCAGAAACAGAAGGAAAATTTTGGCCTGCTGTTAAACAGGAGAGGTGAATTAGTCACCAGCAGAGCTGAAAAGGCAGAGGTTCTCAGCACTTTCTTCGCCTGTCTTTACCAGCACTGCTGGGCCTAAGGCCTTGGGAACAACAATCCAGGTTGATGCAAACACAGACCCACCATCAGTGAAGGAAGAGTTGGTAGGTGAACTATTACAGCCAGCTTGACCCCTGCAAATCAATGGGCCCTGATGCTATCCACCTGAGTGTGTTAGGAGAGCTGGTTTACAACATTGTGAGGCGGCTCTCCATCATCTTTGAGAAGTCGTGGAGATTGGTGGACATCCCAGAAGACTGGAAGAAGGCTAATGTTACCCCCATCTACAAGGGCTTAAAGAAGGATCCAGGAAATTATAGGCCCGTCAGTCTTACTTCAGTCCCTGGGAAAGTTATGGAACAAGTCCTCCCGGGGGCTATCACAAGTCAAATGCAGCACATGATTGGGAACAGCCAGCATGGGTTCAGCAAGGGCAAATTGTGCTTGACAGGCCTGGTCGCCTTCTATGACAATGTAGCCTGCTCGGTTGATGGGGGATGAGCAGTGGATATTGTCTACCTGGATTTCTCCAAGCTTTCAACATGGTTCCCCACAGTCTTCTCCTAGAGAAACTGGTGTGTTATGGTCTAGCCAAGTGGTCTGTGTGGTGGGTGGAAACTGGCTGACAGGCTGCACGCAGAGGGTGGTGGTCAATAGCTCCTTCTCAAACTGACAACCTGTCACAAGTGGGGTCCCCCAGGGACTGATATTGAGCCCAAAGCTGTTTAGTATCTTCATAAGTGATCTGGATGATGGCATCAAGTGTACCCTGATGAAGTTTGCTGATCACACCAAACTGAGTGGTGAAGTGGACAGTTGGGAAGGGAGAGCCATCCCGCAGGAGGACATGGATAGGCTGGAAGAGTGGGCTAACAAGAACCTTATGAAGTTCAAGGAGGAAAAGTGTAAGGAAAACATAATCCAGGAGTGCAGCACAGAGGATCTACCCTGATGGGGAACAGTTCTGTGGAAAGAGACCTGAGGGTCGTCATGGACAACAAGCTTGATATGAGTGAACAGTGTGCTGCAGAAGCAAAGAAAGCCAAGAGGATGGTGGGCTGCATCAACAAGGGCATCACCAGCAGAGACAAAGAAGTCATTATCCCACTCTGCTCAGTGCTGGTGAGTGCGATTCCACACCTGGAATCCTGTGTGAAGTTTTGATCCCCACTATACAAGAAAGATGTGGACAGGCTGGAGAGGGTTCAGAGAAGGGCCACTAAGATGATCAACGGACTGGGAAGCCTGCCGTATGAGGAAAGGCTGAGAGAATTTGGTTTGCTCAGTGTTGAGAAAAGAAGGCTTCGGGGGACCTTATCACCATGTTCCAGTATTTCAAGGGTGGCTACAAGGAAGATGGAGACTCTAATTTTACAAGGACTTACATGAAAAGGATGAGGGGTAATGGGTACAAGTTAGTCCTGGGGCGATTGATTGGACATAGAAGGACAGTTTTTCACAGTGAAAACAATCAGCCCTTGGAACGATCTCCCCAGGGAAGTGGTGGATTGCCATCATTGGACACTTTTAAGATTCATCTGGACAGGATGCTGGGCCATCTTGTCTAGACCTGGCTTGTGCCAAGAAAGGTTGGATCAGATTATCCTTGAGGTCCCTTCCAACCTGGGATTCTATGATTCTATGATAGAATGAAAAATCCCCGTGGTTCTGACCAGGTTTGGTGTTTTCTATGACATACTGCCCTGGAGCTGTTTGTTACGGATCAGGTTGTAGTCTCTCTCGACTGTTTTAATTGGCTTTCAAGGCACCCCAGAACAGAATGTAATTTCATTATAAGACAAAAGTATTGCACTAATTTACTAAGTTGTACTGAAAGGAAACGATTATAATCCTCATTTTTTGGAGAGAAAACACACTTGAGATGTGAACTCAGGCATCCTCTTCCCAAATTTAGGACAATTTCTTTAAGTGGTAGCAACTTCAGTTTTCCAAATATCCTTTTTATAGTGATCTAACTTCTGGATCTTTGCACTTTACTGACCCTGTGGTCTGTCTCCTGCTTTGCACCATTTTAACCCATACGGCTATTAAAAAGTAGCTGTGGAGCACTATTCTAATCATGTGGGCATCGCTTAATCCTCTGATTGAACCTGAATAAATCTCCTTGGATGCCATGTCAATCTGTTTGGGATTTGCAATCTGGCAAGGCACCCAAATACAAATTAAAGTGATTTTCTACCTGAAAAAAATCATCTGCCTTTCTCAGTAACATCTATCGCTATGTTCCAAGGCGAGTGAAGATCAGGCAGCTGTGAACATCACTTTGGAGGCAAGGGGCATAAATATTTGCCTTTATGTTATTGATTTCCTAACTATAGGTCCTTGGCTACATTCAAAGGTTTCATTTTCGCTCTTACTGGTAATTCAGAAGGATGGCTTTTACTTAGTATTATTCCTTTATCTTCTTTTCTTTTTTTTTCTTGCTATACCAATTATTTTTTTCTGTGTTCTGTCATTCCAAGTATGTACCCTGACCCCTGAAATTGTTGGGATTTCAAAGTATTTACTATATTTGGATCTTACAAACTCCCACAGATCTTCTTTCATCTCTCTATATTTTAACTTTGTCTCTCCCCAAATTACTATGTAACTGTTTTCAAAGGCGTTTATTTGCCTTTCTTCAAAATATGTGAGGCACTTTTATGCAGAAAGAACGTCTAGATCTCCTCTCCCACCAAATTTTAATAAGTAAATCTGCGCTCCAAGTTATTAGCAGATATGTTTCACCTGTTAAATAAGATTATCCAAGTTATTGTTATTGGTTCACAGTTCAGTATTTAGTTTTACCTAAATTTTCCAAAATTTAGTTTTGACCTTCCTTTCTCCCTATTTCCTTAAAATCTTCAGTCTTTTTGGAGTCTTCTTTAATAGAAAAATTATAAGTGTATGTGCAAAAAGTGTGCAATCCACTTATATTTCCCCACTCTTAGAATCCATAATGAAATTTTATATGCTAGATCACTGTTTTAGTTATTCTATTGTCTCTGTGCAATAGCTCTATGGATGACAGACTTTTAAATAAACCATACATCTCCATATGACCTGTATATAATGAAATTATAAAGTGTTATTAACAAATCAACATAGTGAATTGACATTTTTGAGGTTAGAAAGGTGCAACACTATAGAAACTAATACCCATCTAGTTGAAAATAATGAGTTCACTATATCTGTGAAATAAAACTTATGGAAAAATAATAAAAAAAAAACCCAAACCAACACTTGGCTTTGCTTTAACTTGTGTGTTTGAAGGTATAATGGTGGATTTTCTGTTAGAAAAAAATCAGTTGCCAAATTAAATGTTCACACTGTCTGTTCTCAGAAGCGGATTTCCTTCTTCATTTAGTTCCAGGTGAAGAGAAGCCCCAGCTAATGTGTCATTGAACACATTTAACTTAAACTTTAAATATTGTTTGAGGTAAAATATCTTACCATGGTTGTCTCTGCAATGGATCCAAAGCTGTTTATAAATATGTTGCATGTGACATTAACTGGAGGGCCTGCAAAAGAGAAAAAACACCAGTCCCTGTTCCAGAATCAGTGCTTATTAAATGACTGTAAAATATAAACCATTAGGAAACAATGTTTCTTGACTTAGGAGGAAATAATGCTACATTCTCAACGTAATACAAAATTAAATCAAATCATTTCTAATAATTTTCCTTTTGATTTTTCTCAAAGGTACACTACTTGACTGGCGAGTTATAGCAATTAAAAAAAAGAGAAAGTTAATTATAAACTTGCACAGATGATTCCATACAAAAAAAAAAATCAGCATCCTACTTGAAATACATATTAAATATAATTTTTATGTGCATTTCGGTGAGCAATGTATGCCACTTCTTACAGCAATTAGGGGAAAAAGTGACCTTCTTCACTCAAGGCAGCTCCTACCTTTAATGTTATCTGTCATCAATGGTAACAGAAATACATTATTGCTGCTCTTATCTCTACTGCTTACAGGAACAAATGTGGATAAGAAAGAATGACTTAGATTCTATTCTCATTTCTCTTAAATCCACAAAATGGTTAAGAATCCATTTAAACTGAACTTTCTGTTACCATGGGTCTTCAGTCAACTGTTGTTCTGTCTTATCTTGCATTTGTGAAGCATCAGTAATGGCAGAACTTTCATTATGATAACAGAACAATGAATCGTCTCTTCATGGAAAAGATTTTAAATTATTTCTCTGAAAGTCTCTGTAAAAATGGTACGATGGTAGAGCATGTTAATTTCCCCATTATTTCTTATCAATTCCCGTCTGTGTACAGCAGAAACGAGTTTTTTCCGCCACAAGGTTTTTCGGTCACCCTCCTGCACCCCGGTATTCTTATATCAATAATCCAGGTTGAACCTGGTTTCTTTTTGCAGGTGTAAGCAGTCACTAATAATAAAGCTCTAGATCTGGAATTTGAGGACTGGTCTTACAAACCCTTACGTAATATTTCTTTTTTAGGGTCGCTGAGGTGACAAGCTGCTGTGCCATGGCTGATGGTTTACAACTGACAAAATTTAATATGACCAATGAACTTGACATTAAAAATTTGAAGAGTCAGAACACCCATAAAAAATTCTGCCAACAGGAGACGACTTGGAACATCCAGCTTGCTTTCCTCAAGGCAATAGTTGTTTTGAAGTACTGCATGGCAATTGCAACAAAACATCACCACGTGTGCTTCAGTCATTGTAATACACAGGACTACACCTGTGGAGCGGAATTCTCAGGTAAGGAGGTATCACTCTGTAGTCACTTTGACACTATTTTCACTTTGATACTTGGTTAATTATTTAAAGCTGTTAAGCTTATGCAATACCTCTTAGAATTCAGTAAAAACTTGACGTTGACAACTCCTGAGAAGGATCAAGGAAAAAAGAAAATATCAGGGAGACAAATAAAGGCAGCGTCACTAAAAACTACCAGGGAGAAAATTACACTTCCTGGCTATGTTAGATAATACCTTTGCAAGGTAGCTTTCCTTTCAAACACTTTCATGTTGTAATATTTGCCATCATTTCAAATTTGTTATGATATTATCTTGTTTAAAATAGTACTATGCTTTAAAGTATAAGCTGGTTGTATCAACAAACCTAGTTGCTTTGATAAAGAAAAAGCCCTAAATCACTGTAACGCTGATGCTGAATTTCAAAAGCAGCATTAGAAAAATAGTTAACAGCTAGTTAAAGAGAACATAAAAGAAGCTAAAAGCATCTTGCCAGTGGTTTAAACATTACTTCAAGATACTGTGCTGAGAGTAAAAATGAACGTCCCAAAATGTGGTCAAAAAGAAGCACAAATGAAGCTGTTAAAACTGGAAGTCATATTCAGCCACAGGAACTTGGGCAAGTTGAACATAGATTAAAGACAGGGGGGGAAATAGAGCTGAAACTCACTAGAGACAGAAAAGCGAACAATGATAACTATCTGCAAGGCATTAAAAATAGACTCCTGCCAAGATCTGGAAGGTGAAGTCAGGAGAAGATGATTAAGATATAAAAGTATCCATGAAAGTGAAGAAGGTCAGAGCAGAAAACCTAAATGAAGTCTTTGTAGCAGCGTTTGTCTCTGATTGCTCACTGTGTCAAACACCGGAGCCATTCTGATGGAAGATTTGTACGACGACTGTAGAAGACGTTTCAGACTAAGTGAACAGGACCAAACTGACAGGCTGAGGTGATACCAAGCCAGACGTCATAAAAATCGTTGCAAAATCGTGGAAATATGAATCACTGTGAGTCAGCTATCACCTGTGTCAGGTTTTTTTAATCAGTGTAAATGTGTACCATGTCCAGCAAGTATAACTTGAATCAAAAAAGAAAAACAGACTCCATGTATGATGGTAGATGACGATGACAATGAACTTTGTCCCTGTAAGCCTTATCTCTGTACTAACAAAGCTGGTAGAAGTTATGAGAACTGTTATGAGTAAGAGATGTGGATTAATATTATTTTTGCTGAAATAACAACTCTTAGATCTACTGAAGCTCTCTGAAAGAGCTGATGAGCATGTGGACAAAACAATCTAATTAACTTAAGTAAATACTAATTTTAATTGTAAAATATAATTAAATTAATTAAAATAGTTTATTTGGAGTTTGAAAAACTTTTCAACCTGATCTTTCATCAAAGACTTTTTAAGGATGTTAGTTTTGATGAAGGGAGAGAAAGTCCTCTTATAGGTCTTTTGCTTTAAGTTGTTTAATGTTAGGAATAAATAACTGTTTTTTAAAGTGCAAGGTGATTGCTGGTGAGTTCCCCCATTGACCTTCACTGAATCTATATAGTTCAATATTAGTGACCTAGAAAAGAAGATATAGCAGTATAATTTTGCTTCTGGGTTAAGATTTTTCAGCGTGGTTGTATATAAAGCTGATTGCAAGGAGGTGCAGAACTAATCACAAAATACCGAGCTATCAATCAATAAAATGTTTGATGAAATTCAGTGTCTGTCAAATGCCAAATAATCCTTACAATGCATTCTTATTGATAGGCTCCAAATCAATGATTTCCACCCAGGAAAGAAAGGCTAGGTTAATTATGGATGGTTCTCTGGAAGCATGCTTAAGAAGATACTAAACATAATGATTGCTGAATTTGATTTGGCACTACCAGGGCAGGGAACACTTTATACTTTCCTATGTAAATCCCAAAATTTCTGTCTTAATAGATTGTTATCAGTGGTGCAATCTGGGCTGTATAGATTAAAAAATATAACACCTCTTCTATATCAGGTTAATTCTGAGCATCTTGAGGCCATGAAAATTTTTACACATGGATTACATAATTGTGTCCGAAATGGAAAGACAGTGAAGTATTTCCCATATTTGCAGGAACAGATACAGTCTGGGATGTAGAACAGCTGAGTAAGAGAAGCACCTTGCTACAGGTTTGATGTACTGCAAATAAGAATATTTTGCAACCAGAATAAAGATTTTACAAGAGACCCTAATTTTCTGTTTTATTCCATAGCTAAATAAATACCAACAGTCTTCTCTATTATTTCTGTTGACCAAGAACACATATGCGGAATTCCTTATCCAAAAGCAGAACACTCATAAAAAATACATTAATTATGTGTGATTGACCAAGATTAATTATGGCTAAAAGATGGTAGTTAGAAGTCTTGTCTACATAGGAATTTTATTGAAAGAATGAATGATTTAAAAAGATGGTCTGAGTTGTCTTATTAGTACTTAATCTGCTTCTTTAAAACTGTTGCCAGATTAAAAAGCCCCAGCACTTGTTCTAGGACTAATAAAGTCAGCCAGAAAGTGGCAAAATCACTTAAGGAGATACTTATTCTTAGTGATAGATGTGAATCGTTCTGGGCAGATTTGTTCAAACTGCATAGCTGTCTGGAAGATTTAGAATGTGCACTTTTTGAAAAAGAACAATGTCAAATTAGGTTTGTCTCTTTAAATTTCAATAGTTACAAAACAAGGTTCTAAGTCTTTTGAATTATACTTTCAAGAAGTCCTGTATTGAATTCATAATCTCTGAACCATCTGCCTGTTCTCCAACGTAGCCCCTCAGAAGACTGTGATTGCATGGTGTCCATGACAAGCTCCAGAATCCAATCCCCAAATCAACTGCTAAGCTGTAAGCTCCTCATTTTTAACCACTTGTTTGTAGGACTTCAGGAGATCCAAAGAAGAAAGGAGAAAAACTGCAGTGCTTACACTTTGCCTGAGGTCTTCCTTTGCCAGCACAGCTTTACCTTAGGTTGAACCTGCAGTTCGCGTGCTAAAGAGTATGCTGCCGCAAGAAGTCAAGGTAACTTTAATGAGCAAAAATAATTTAAGAATTACCATTCATGTAAGAAATAATTTTAGAAATGCAGGGGTTTGCATTACTCTGCAAATACTGTTTGATACATTAACCCTTCAGGAAGCCAGGTGCTGCAACCTTCCTCAAAATCGCTCCGGCAAGGAAAGTCCAAGGAACTTATTCTGTTTGGTGATCGGGGATATTGATCACTGTTGTAAATCCTTTAGCAACGTGTTTGGATTTCCAGTGCATGTTCATCATTTTCTGAGAAACACCAGCACCACAAACTTATTAAAAGCCAAGCATTTCCAGCTGCAGTAAATCCTGGCTAAGAAGTTTATATATACCGCACCAACTCTTTATGGCTCCCTGACAAGGAAGTAATTTGGCAAACTACTTACTTGGTCCTTGTGAATCAACCTGGGCAAATTCTGGCAAAGCCAGCAAATAGCAATGGCTTTAGGATCATAACCACTTAAGTTTCTGGGACTTGGAGATGTCAAAAAATAATAAAATTTAGTGCCGAATAAGAATTATGATGGAAAGGCAATGACAGATGACTTAGAATAAGGTGACCTGTCTGCTTGAAGGAAAATTTTGTTGCAAACGTGGAGAAAACCCCACCTTATAGGGAAACATTAGAGCTAAGACAATCTCTTGGACTCAAGAAGATAGGCATAGGAGGAGAGGAGGCAGCTAAGGTGAAGTAAGAATGATGTCACTTTTAATCACGATAGGTTTATTCTTTAAAAAATATATTTATATTCTGGAGACATTAAAGACTGATAACTTGATTTAAAGACTCAGAAACAGTTAAAAATAATTCTACTATATTATTGGAACTCTGCATTCTAAAAATAAGGATAGTTAAATTTACCAGACTGTAAAAGTTAGAATGTGTGGTATTTGTCTGTACAATAGTTTCTATATTTGTATAATAATATAGGTTGTATAATATTTCATTAATTTCTCTACTTTAGCATGCCCAAGTCTGGGTAACACGGTTTGTGCTGAGACTGTCAGAAGATATAATCATTGCATTTGCAAACTTTGGGCTTCCAATCTTCTTTCAATCTCCTTTGTGATAAGTGTATAAAAGGCACACTCCAACAGACAATTCCCGGCGCTGAGAACCTGCAGTTTCAGTGGAGAACTGAGAGCAAGGAAAGGAACAAGAGGAAAGATGGTCCTTTTTGCCACTTCAAAGCACAAGTGGGGCACAGGAGTGAGGAATCTGATTTGGTAACTAAGATAAACTCTCTTGAGTTTGTCTCTGATGGTCAGATCACTAACACGTTCTTCCTTATAGTCAGGATTAGGCAGATATGAGGATTTGGACTCTTTCACAGAACTTGCTTTCTGGAGTGCTTCAGGCTATGGTTGTCCAAGGTGGGAATTTGAATCTATTAAGAAGCTTTTCAGAAAAGAAGGAAAAAAAAAAAACACAACAAAAAACCTCCAACCAACCCCTTTTAGACCATTCAAATCTAGTGGCAAGCTACATTTTCCAAAGGTCTGCCTTTGGGCAGCTGTGACAGTGACAGGAGTAGAGCATATTGCTACTGAAACAGTCTGCCATAGCAAAGAAAAGCAAAAGAAGGCATTTCTTTTTGTTCAGTGAGTGTACTGCTTCGTTTTCATGTTTGTTCCAGAAACTGCATTTGTCTGAGAAGAAATACTGAAAGTTTAGGTTTGAAATTACCTTTGAAATTTGGTCTGATCCTCGCATCGTAGCCTGACATCCTACCCATTAGCTTATCCAGGAAATCAGATGGCGACATTGGCATGCTACGAGATCTTGCACTGTCTGTCTCCTTTGTGGCTACCAAGCTAACAGCAAGGAAAAAAAAACACAGAAAAAAAACCAAACCAAAACAAACCAAAAAAAAAAAAAAAGGAAAAAACAGAACAAAACATTTTGTTAGAGATATTGTTAGGGAAACTTTAATTTTACACAGTGAATCACTCAGTTCGTTCTTGTATGAACAGGGAAATAGGAAAGCTGAGATTACCTTTCATGCCAGTTTATGCTTCAAAAATAGTAGTAGCAAAGACATAGAAACAGCGAGTTCTTTTTATATCTGTCATTTTATATGCAAATTTTATTTTGCTAAGCTGCATGGTTACAGGCTGCTGTTACCTCTTCCTTAGGACTTCTGGAGATTAGTAACACTACCAGTCAACAGTAAACAACCCATTATCACAGAGGTAAATAATGTCATTGGCACAAATAGTTGGGAATGTGGAAGGTCTTAATTTGGACTCTACTCTAAAATTGGTCTGTTTAACTGGGTGTGGGGTAACAGAAGCCTGGATCAGAAAAAAAAAGGTAGTGAGGCTCTTTCATAGAATAGTACTACTACCAGCAATTTTTGTTCATCCAATGTTTTATGATGATATTTAAACACAGTCCAACATATCAAACAATCTCTTGGCAAATGGTATTCTTTAACATTGTCTTAGAGGTTTGCTTTCTGTAAAACAAAAGTGACTGCTGTGGTGGTAAAAAAACCCCACAATTTACTGAAGGAACTATCTCAGGGCAAAATTTTCATCTCAGAGCCACATGGCAAATGTCATCTCCTATAGCCTCCTCTCCATGGCTATGCAGAACTCCCACTGACATTCTAAAGCGTGCTCTGCACATGCCAAGGGAGAAGAGTATCGGCACCGCGATCAGCCATGTGGGCCTGGAGAAAAGGTCTTTATCATTGTGGAACTCTTACTCCAGTGCTGGCCAACACATTGAAAAAAACCCACGGTAAATATATCTCAATAAAATGATGAGTAATATTGTGATACACAGTGGAACTGAAACCACTGTGGCTTTTGCAGTCTCAAAAAAGCTAAAGAGCTTTTCCAGTCTGTGCTGACTTCTAGTCAAAAATCTTTTGTGGAAGGATGTGAACCTCTTTTATTTGCTTACTTCGTCTCCTGTTAATGCCAATTCACTCTTTCAGAAGTGTTTAAACATGCCTTTGTTTAGAAGTAAACACAGGGAATCATG